GATGGTACTATTATCAAAGCTATGACTAAGAGATTAAAAAAGAAAACCTTGGGGGTTAGGGGTGTGACTCAGCGGCAGGGAGCTTGCCTAGCATGCTTGAGGAGCTGAGTTCAATCCCTAGCACCCATGGTTATCTCACTAGATGCTAAAGAGGCTTCTACTGGAAATTCAACTTTAGATTCTGACAAAAACAGTTAATGTCCTAGTAAAATGATTCTTCTTCCACATGCCCTCTTGCAATGAATAACAAACAGCAACTTAAAACTGACAAACTAGATGTAACTTCATTAAAGACAGAACAAGATAAGGATGACTACCCTCACTGCTCTTATTTAATATTATTCTTGAAGTTCTACTGAAAGGAAGAAAATAGAGATGCAGTATTGGAAAACTCTTCCAATGATTACTACTTAAAGACAATTATCATTTTATAAATCCCAAGCACACATATAGAGAGAATTAAGTCTTACAAGTCAAATATATGGTAATCGGCTGCTTTCCTTCAAATCTATGACAACCAATTTGAAAAGATAACAGGAAAATACAAGTCACTGTAACAACAAAATATATATTCTTCTAAGGAATAAACTAAACAAGAAAACTATGCAGATAAGTAGCTAAACATTTGTGAAAAAAATAAAGAGTTCTACCACTTTTAAAGTCACACAAAGCATAATACTATTAAAGCAAGTGAAAGACATATAGGTGGATGCTTTTAAAATTTTGGGCTTTGAGGGCCGGGCGTGGTGGCACATGCCTGTAATCCCAGCACTTGGGAGGCTGAACAGGAGGATCATTGCGAGTTTGAGGCCAGCCTGGGCTACAAAGGGAGTTGAAGGCCAGTCTGAACTGCATAGTGAGACCCTGTCTCAAAAAGACAATCAAGAAAACAACCAAAAAAAAACCTTGGGCCTTGGGAGACTTTTTTTTTTTTTAACACTTTAGTATCAAAGGCAGTAAGTCTGAAGAAAAGATGGACAGATCTGACTACATAAAAACTAAACTATTATATTCCCAAATATATCATATACAAAGATAAAAGAAAAACGACACATTGGGCAAAATTATCAATAATATGTATAAGAGTTAATTACTATACACATATTGAGTTCTTATGAGACCATTATAAAAAGATAAAAGATCTCAATAAGAAAAAAGGTGGCAAGGGGTGAAGAGACAGTACACTAAAGGATAATAAGTGGATGATGAGCATATGTTCAACTCACTGGTAATCGAAAACATAAAGTAAGATTTTCTTCTCTCTCACATTAGCAAGGATAAAAGGAATAACACCTAGTATTGCTGCAAGTATGAGGAAATTGGTACAATTTTTCTGTAGGGAAATTCTGTAAAACACAATACAAGTATCAATAATGTAGATAATTTCTGGACATCAAAATTCTAATTCTAATTTATCCTAAGAAAATATATAAGTACATAAAATTTGGCTATTAATAAACGAAGATCTAGCTATAAGAGATGTCTGTCATTGAAACATTGTTAATAATAGGCAGAAATTAGAAAATTAAACCAATCCTCAAAGGACTGGATAAATGATAATACTGTATTATGTAGGGTATTATAGCTAATAGCCACTAAAATGACAGTACTATGAGAGGGAAACTTTACCTATTAAGTGACAAACAGGTGACAATCACTTTTTGTTTGAGATAGGCTCTTGCTAAATTGCCCAGGCTGGTCTGGAATTCTTGATCCTCCCACTTCAGGCTTCAGTGTACTGGGATTATGGGTATGCACCACTACACACATCTGGCTCTACACGATTTTTGTATATATATTACACCTATGTAAATATATACTCACTTTCTCCTCTGCAGAAAAAAGTATAGAAGGACAAAAATGACCATTCTACTGGATAATGGGATTACGGGAATATTAGTTATCTGCCCAATAAATGATGCCAAAATTTAGTGGCTTACACAGAAAACATTCATTATCAGTTTCCATGGGGCTGGAATTTGGGAAGCAGCTTAACTAGGTGGTTCTGCCTCAGGGGTCTCAAGAACTTTCAGTCAAGATGGTGGCCAAGGTCACCATCACCTGAATCAGGTGGTGTACTGGGACTGAGGGACTCACCTTCCAAGAGAGCCACAGCTGTTGGCAGGATGCCTCAGTCCTTACCTTACAGACCTTCCGATGGGGCTTCATGACATGGTGGTTGGCTTCCCCTAAGCATGACAGAGACTATAACATCTTTTTTGACCTACCCTAAAAAGTCACACTGTTATTTCTGTGACATTCTAAGTATTAAAAATAAGTGTTACCAGGCATGGTGGTACATGACCGTAATCCAGATACTTGGGAAGGTAGGGCAGGAGGACAAGTTCAAGGCCAATGTTATAATCAGGGCTTGCAAGGGAACAGATTTAACACAGGACACATAATTTATAGGATTACTTCATAATATTCACCCAAAAAGTCAAATACAGCAAAGTGCAGGAACCTGTCCACGCATCAGAGACCCAAAGCATCCAGCTGAGGGCCTGGACCCCACAGCAGTGTCCTGCATGAGTCCTGCCAGAGGCCCAGAGCCCACAGCAATGTTCTCCATGAGTCCATCCAGAGGCCTAGAGCCCACGGCAATGTCTCATGCAAGTCTGCAACACGGATATGCACCCTATAGGCCCAAAGGCCACTGGAGAAAGCTAGAAAGTCTGTGCCAGAAGGCTGAGGGGTCTGCACTGGAGCCAGGAAATAAAGCTCAAGGTGAGGACCAGAGCTCCCACGAAGAAAACAGCAGCCATCCCTGGCACAGCAAGGACCCAAGCTCACCCACAACAAGAACACCAAGTTTTGTATCGGGAAAACCAGCCACAACAAGCATCTCCTGGAAAAACAACAGCATGCAATCTTTTCCTCCCATTCTCCTTTTATGCTCCTTAGGCAACAATCCTCAGGGGGATCTTCCATGCCCCAAAACTACACTGACTCAGTTCAATGGGGGGTTTGCACTCAAGTTGACCATTAATTAATGCACCACAGCCAACCGGGACAACTTACCTAGACTATCTCAAAATAAAAAATAAATTGGGTGTGGTGATACATGCCTGTAATCCAGCATTTGGGAGGCTGAGGCAGGAGGATCACCATAAGTTCAAGGCCAGCCTAGACTACATAGTGAATTCAAGACCACCTTGAACTACCTGGAAAGACTCTGAATCAATCAAACAACCAAACAATCATCCAACCAACCAACCAAACAACCAACCAGGCTGGCCTAGTATACACAATGCCTAGTTCAATCCCTAGTACTGAAAAACACAAAAACACACACACACAAAATCACTAAGTCCAGCTCTTACTCAAGGGGAGGAAAACTAAGCTACACCTCTTGAAGGGAGAAGTATTCATTCAGTTTGTAGACTACTTTAAAATCCCAATCATTCAGTTTGTAGACTATTTTAAAATATGATTGGTGGCATATTCAGAAAAAATATGTAATTTATTTATAAATGAGAAAGTTAATTTCATTAATACATGAACATATATACACATGCACATATAAAGGCATAAAGAGACAACTTAAAAATCCTAAGCACAATGTGCCTTCCACAAAAGGTAACACAATTCCAGTCTGAATAGCAGAAAAATGGTATCCAAACAAGTTCTGTGATATTCTGCACCATTTAGATCACATCCAGAATATCCTGTTTGGCTCTGAGAGCCACACTTAGCAAATCTGAAGTGGAAAATGAACAAACTGGAGCTCACCATTTAGATAAGTTACTCCAGAAATGAAGAACAATCTGGAGGGAAACTGGAGGTGTCTGCCTTAAAGAGGTTAGACTTAAGGGGGAGAGAAAGACTAGGGTAATTCATAGCCTTCCCTGTACACAGGTGGAAAAGTTAAAAGAGGTAGGAGGTAGAACGTGAACCAGTCAGGTCATGTGTTCAGTCACCGCAACATGATGAACTGTTTAACAGAGTTGGTAAAACAAACCTTGAGCCATTCAGTGGATTTCCCAAGTGGCTACAGAAGAAATATACAGAGCCAGACAGGGCACGGTGCTGCCACTCTCTGTTATTCTAAGGTTCATGTCTAAACTGGTCTTTCCCTACACATACTGGTATGGAGGATGTTGAAGCCAAGGCCTCTGCTAAAGCAGCGGACCTGACAATAGGGTCTAAGTCATGAGGTGTAAATAAAACACCTGGTACTTCGTACAGTATAGTGCCCAGCACATAATGCAGTAAGTGCCTGGCTTATGAACATCCAAGTTGTAAACTTTTACAGGTGCACTGTATGAGACACAGGTGTACTGTGTAAGACTCACTTTGTTAGATTTTGAATGAATCCAATTTATGAACATTCTCCTGGAACAGAACGCATTCATAAGTCAGGAACTTACTGTTCACTATGTGCTTTATGGATTTCAGCTACTACATGTATTGACTCAGAGTATGATGGAATGTTCTGTAAGGTCCCTTCCAATTTCTGAGACTATAATAAAGTTAAAGTCACTATCACTATTAATCCTGATGGTCTGTTGCAGTAATAATACACTTAAGGGTAGGAATGACAAAATTAATCTCCAAAGGTGGGATGGCTGGACATCCTACCTTTGGGAAATCACATAGAGCAGAGGTAGACACTTATACTGTACAGACAGATAAAAAGCACAAAAAAAACCAAAATTAAACATATCAAACGTCAAACTGGTGGATGTGGTCTGCTTTTTAGAATGAAGCTATTTTTAAAAATTAATTATTTAATTTTTTTTGAGACTGTGTTTTGCTATGCAGTTCAGGCTAGACTTGAATTCACTATGTAGCCCAGACTGGCCTCGAACTTGCAGTAATTCTCCCGCCTCAGCCTCCCATGTGCTGGGACTACAGGCGTGTGAGACCATGTCCAGCATGAAGTTATTTTAAAAAGGAAATTCAAACTGAGCTACTTCATCTCCTCAGAGCAAATTAAATTATTACAATTAGGTTACTCACCCATACCTGCCAACTATCCACCACAACTGAACACTTACTTTTTGGGTGCCAGCAGCCTGGATATTCTGCCATGTTGCTACAGGCTCTGTAGCTATGTGCCACTCTGGGTAAGTTTTCGTGAGTAACTTCACAAAGGTAGACTTTCCCACAGCTGTAATGCAAACAGCATGTATTGGGATTGTTCTCAAATCAAGCTGAAGTAGTCTGCTAGACTCTACCATGAGTGCCCCACTCAAAGGGCACCAGTACCAGCAGCCACACTATTGTCAGAGCAGCGATGGATCTGGCCATGCTAACTAGTCATTATAATGAATACAGGTAACAGGGAAGAAAAATCCCTTCAAGGTTTGATTGGCAATTTTAAAATCCCCACCGCCCAGAGAAAAAATGGTTAGTGCTGAAAATTTAACAGTGCCATCAAAAGTAGATGAAATCAACTATGTAAATCGTAAAGCTTAAATCACAGCTCAGGCAATCAGATAATTCTCTTCTAAAAAACATCTGAGCTAAGACCTGAAAGATGAACAGTTAGCCAGGCTAAGAATGGGGGAATGGGGGCTGGGGATTTAGCTCAGCGGCAAAGTGCCTGCCTGGCAAGCGCAAGGTCGTGAGTTCGGTTCCCGGTACCAGAGAAAAACCAAAAAAAAAAAAAGCTAAGAATGGGGGAAGGATAATCTGTGTAGAGGGTAGTATGAACGAAGGCCTAAGAGGAGAAAGAATTCTGCACATGACAAAACGCAAGCGGCTCTGGAATAAGGCAGCAGCACTACGGCATGAGTGAATGAGGAGGAAGAGTGGCTTGAGACGGGAGCAGCCAAACACACAGCGAGTGCAGGGTTAGGTCACACAGGACCTGGTTGCCATTGTAAGAAGGACTAACTTTTATTTTAAGGGAAAAGGGGAGTCACCGACAGTGGCTTTAGGCAGAGAAACTGGAGATTCCTTCTCACTGCAGAGGACCCCTCTGCCAGCTGTCTAAGAATGGGCTGAAGCTGAAGCAGGCAGATCAGTCACATGATAACAGGACCTCACCCAATGTGATGCAAGGCCATGGAAGGTAGTGGGTGCTTTGAAAAATATTTGAGAATGTAATCAGCTTAGTACCAAACACTCAAGTTATCTTCTGCTACTTACACTAATGCCTGGCTCACACCTCCCCTGAGCTCCAGACACACACAGCCCTCCAGACATCTCTTTTGGACAGCTCATGAACACCTCAAAGTCAATACATTCCCCAAATGAGCTCATCATTTTTCTCATCAAACTGAGCTTTCTCCTGCGTCCCAGACCTCAGGTTACGGCAATATCATCCACTCACTGCCAGAACATCTTCCTCCTCTGCCAGACCGCAAGTAGTCATTGGTCCTTTGCTTCCAACTTCTCCCATCTGCTCTCTTCTCTCCACTTAAACCTCCATGCCCAAGACCAAGTTCTCCTCAAACCTTGCCTCTCCAATTCCAGCCTTATTCTCTTCATCCCAACCTCCACACTGCAGCCTTACTGCACATAAAACACTGCTTAAAATCCTGTGACAGCTCCCTGTTGCCTTCATGATAAAAATCAGAACCATTAGCACAGTATCAGATACAAGACCTGGTCCCTATATATGCCTCTCCAACCCCAGCTTTCCCATGCTCCTGCTGAACCAAACTCCTTACAACTCTAACCACACCAGGTTTTCTCCTGCAAATATGCCTTGGCATTCCTCTCTCCTCACCTGGCCAACTCCTACTCAGTTTTCAAGGTTCTGCTTAGAAGAACCTCCTGTGTGAGGCTCTTCAGACCCTGATGGCTCTCATTTGGATTCCTTTGTGCTGGCCTGCTGTTCTCGGGGTAAGACTCCATCACTGGAATGATAACTGTATTTCTCCAGGTAGAAGATAAGGCTCCTGCAGGGTAGGAAAAAAAAGCCTTTTCATTTTGTTCAGTCTCTGCTCTTCTCACACGTTGGTAAGTGCCTTCCCCTACCTAAGTCCTTCCCCCTACCAAGGCCAAGGTCTCAGAACTTCTCTAGCTCACGCCAAGTTCCTATCATGCTGGTCAGTTACAACTGGTTGAGTTTGTATATTTTCAGACTGGCCCTAGCTTAAAATTTTTTGGCCTAGTGGTTAATATTTGGGCTGCAAGTTGTTCAGTAATGTGAAACATGGTCCCTATCTACCAGCTAAAAAGTTACTTTAAATAATGTAGAAAGATAAAGGTAGTTGATTTGTTGAATGGTTAGAACTGAATGTTGAATTATTGACATTTTTTAATTGACTTTTTTTAAAAGTGAAGTGATTACCTAAAAAATCTGTTGGGAGATGGAAGGGAAGGACTTGGAGGGCTAGGCAGTGCCAACTTCACCTCTGAGATCAGACTCTATTAGTTCATCTAAGGGCAGTCTAGACTCAGAATCCAACTCATGCCATTTAAATACATAAAGCCCAGAATGCCAACAAATGAGATGTAATGGGAAATACATGGTTCTGATTCCTGGAACAATCCCTTCTGATACCCAGGGCATTCTCGACCCCACTGGCCATTCCAAGGCTTCTGGAGAACCAGTTTAGTAATCAGAAGCAGGATCCAGCACACAATGACAGTAAACAGTGTGAAAGGTCCTGAGAGATGATCATCCATGTTGCAAGGACTGGGAAAAGCCAGGTAATTCACCATAGGGCAGTACAGTACTTCCTAAATGAATTCCACTGGGACCGAGCTATGCTACCTAGAGATGTGGATAAAAACTAATTCAAACCTATTTATAGTAACACCTGGGATGGTATAACTTTTCCAGTGCTGTGATATCTGAAAAGTTTTTTTCTCCTTCTTGCTTGGATGTCTTTGTTTTATTTAAAGACAAAGGGGATTTGTAAGAATGGTGGTATTTGGTTCTCTACTGGCACAAAGGGCTCTTCCCAGTGACCCATGTGTACAGAATGCTTCACTTCCTCAGGCAGTACCAGCCTCTTATGTGCCATTATCTCAGGCTTAGCACAATTTAGTTAGATGGGGGGCTACGGATTTAGCTCAGCGGCAAAGCGCCTGCCTGGCAAACGCAAGGTCGTGAGTTCAGTTCCCGGTAATGGAGAAAAACCAAAACCAAAAAAAAAAACAAAAAACAACAATTTAGTTAGATGCCAGCTTAACTACTATTTTTTAATATGCAGGAGAGGTTTAGAGGTTTGATGAAGTTTGTGAAGTAGGATGACCTCATAAGAAGCATTAAACCTTCCCTTGGGCCTTGCCTTCTAGGGCACTCTATTTTATGTGCTGTGACTTTAAAAAATGTTGGAAGTACTTTCTTAAGAGTACATTACTTCAACACGCTGAGTTTCATTAGCTCCTGAAATGTCATTTCATAAACTCAACCAACGAGTTCCATTGTCAGTATTCATCTTTTCTCAATCCATGGCTTTTCCTTCAACAAGTTTTTCTATGAATTACAATGTTATGGCTATCAGTACATCATGCTACGATCTAGCAGTAAGTATCTGATGTAATACCCAAAATACAATTACAGCCATAGCTCCATTATGCTAAAATCTAATAGCAAGACAGTACCTGAGGTACTACCCAAAAGTATATATTCTAGTATTTTAAGTTTAACACTGTTGTATTTCATGGTAATTTCTTAAATATACTGTCATCTCTAGGCATTTTCTTTTCCTGAACAAGATAGAAAACATGAGAAAAAAAAATCTAATTCTGAACTCTTTTACCAAAGTAAAAGACAGTAAATGTGAAACTAATATCTTTTAAAAAAAAATCTCACAAAGAAAATTTAGTCTGTTCCAGGGACTGCATCTGACGACACATCCATTCAGTCAGTAGATAGTTATGGAGGAGTGGCAGGTACTACAAACAAAATGATGAACTAGGCTGAGATTTTGCCCTCAAGGAACTTTTTTTTTCCAACCCTGAGACTAAGTACCCAATATCATAGCCTCTGAGCCTAGAAGTATTCTGGGCAAACAAACCCATCAGCATGCTTAAAAGAACTTTGTTCCTTTTATTTTCTTTCCATGGGAAACTATTTACTGGGAAAAAAAAAAAAAAAAAAGGTTCCTTACAGCTACCAGAGTATGATGCAAACCTATTCGTGCAGCATAAAAGAGCCTCACTGATCTAGTGTGCCCTCCTCCCTCACTTTGCCTACTCAGTGATTCATCTTTCCACTGTCACTTTCTCTGTGAAGCCTCCTTGAACTCTCTCCAGCTACACTTCATCCACAGGCAGAGTTAATTACTGCCTGCTCTGGCTTAGCAAGGTATTGCACTGTAATTATTTGTTCACTCATCACTCTCTCCAGCTAGACTGAGAGATCGCTTTTAGAAGATACAGACTGTACCTTACTCCCTCTGTATTCTGAGTATGTAGCCAAGAACTAAGAAGAATAGATGGATGGATAGAATGAGGTCAATCACAGAAACAAAAAATCCAGTATCAGTATCTGAAATAAATAGGTTCTCCCCCAACACACACCCCAGGATTCTTTGCTCAATTTATACATTCAATAAAAGTAAAAGATGTATTAGTGATGGTAACATTTAAACTCTGGAAGAATAAGAAAGCCTTCTATTGCTTTATGTACAAGTCTCTAAGCTGAAAAGAATAGAACAGTTTCCTCTTCTCTGGATGGCTCTCTGAGAATGGTCTCAGGTAATTCACTGACACTTATACCTCATACAGCAATCCTTCAATTTAGGTTTGTATTCATAAAATAACCGGCTTTGGATGATGATAATACACTTCAGGGATGAATCACATTAAAAGATAGGTTAGCTATTCTATTTTTTAGATTTGAAGGGTTCTAGGGACCAAGATTTTGACTTTCAAGTACTCAGCGCATATGGCTTCATAAGTCATGCTAGATGCCATGAATTGCTACTTCACCGACCCATTTCCATCCATGCTGCTGTCTGTAACTTCAGGATCTGAGTAACAGGACTTAGACTAGCAGGACTATGAGAAATGTCCCTTTAAACATATCTAACTTCTTTTAGGATCAACGTTCACCTTCCCTTGTTCAGGTCTCCCAAAGGGGTGCTCTCCTTCTGATTTGCTTCAGGATGCCAACTGTGACTAAAGAAAAAGTCAACTCTTGACTTAAAAAAACAGAGTAGAGCTGGGTGTGGTAGCTTGCACCTGTAGGCCCAACTAGGTGGAGGCTGAAGCAGAAGGATCCCTTGAACTCAGGAGTTCAAGACCAATCTGGGTAACATAGCAACAACAATATATAAACTTTCAACCAAAAAAAGTTGAATATATTCCCTCTGTGGATACCAACAACTAACTTCCACATGGAAATCACGGAATAGGACTCAGGAAGCTGGTAATCAATGAATGAGTACAATGGGCCAGGCAGTGGATCAGGTGCCTGGGATACAGAGATGGATAGGACACTAGGTGACTCTACTAGGTACTAGGTAAGGATGGTGTTGAATGTGCAAACAAGCTCAAAAGAACACAAGTGCCACCACAGCTCTGGGTACAAAATGTCATGACATCCCACACAGGAGGAGTTACTAATTCTGTCATTTGGGGGTGGGGGTAATAGAGAGTGAGGGAGACGAAAGTAAAAAGAGTCATGTTGAGTCCCCCAATCCACTGTGCATCACCCTTTCCTTGTCAGCTGCATTCACTGCCAACGCTTCAACAACCACCCCCACCAGTTAGCATCTTCCATATTTGAAATCCCAGCCTCCATCTCTAGGCTGTACTGACTTTGGATACAGTCCAACAGGCTTCAGGACATGTCTCACAGGCACCTAACACAAAATGGCTGTTCTTATCGTCCCTGACCACCTCTTCCTTTCCTTCCTCCTCTGCTCTTAAGAGTTAGTATCCAAATTATACCACCTTCTGTGTCATCCTCTTTCACTTCTCTTTATCCATCACCTCCAAGTAGCCGCAAGTCCTCTCAATCCCATTTCCAAAATCTCTCTCAAACCTTCATTTCTCTGGCCCTCCTGTTCTTCTATTCAGGCCTGCATCTTTCCTCCCTCCAATTACTGCAATAGCCACAAAACTAGTCTATCTACTCAAACTGTTCTAATTTATTTATTCATTCATCAAACAAAAGATGCAAGGCATTATGGGTACTGCAGCATTACATTCACTGCTGTGCTCAGCATCAAGGTGGAGTCATAGTAAGGCACTACGAGGCACTCAGTAAGCCTTTTGGGCATGAGAAAGCAAGAAAGCAGCACAGAAATTTGGTTATGTGAGGAAGCAAAGATTGGGGAAACTGGGAGCTCAAACTTTACTGATGACCAAAGTAATTATTTGTGAAGTCCTCTGGGGTCCGAGAATAGAGCTTCCTTTGGGGGTTTCTCAAAATACAGGGCAGAACATCTTTAAAAAACACTATCTGGCATGTTGCAGGACCTTCCTTTCTCGTTCAATATTTCTGATCTGGCTGGGGAAAATGCACACAGCTATGGGTGACTAGTCTCAATTTACATTTATGACCATTAACTTTAAGAGGGTCCTTATAGCTGCCTTAAAATTTGACATTTCCTTCCCTCAATTACAGTCAGTACTAGACTACTTTATGTCTCGTCCTTTTTCCTGGAATTCACTTATAACCTTTCTTCCTATTTCACTGTAAAAAAAAACCTGACACAATCAAAAAGACTTCCAAGTTCCCACCACACCTGCCCAAGTCAGCTCAAATGTTCTGTCATCCCTCATCTTACCAGGGATAAACTGTGCTCCTAGCCAAGGTTCAACTCTTTCCATTTGGGCAGCAAATCCCATCCTTTCTTGCTCAAACACTCCAGTAATTGTATCCTCTCTTGTGCTTCACTCATTTCTCCCTTCCTAGGGGGCTACAATATTTTCATCAACTTATGAACATTCACTAATTCCTCTCGTGAAAAGAAAAACAGAATGTAAAAATTCTCAAACTCTTCCGATTTAAGCAACCACCGTGTGACTCCTCTTTCTAGGAAATGTTCCACAGTTGTTTAACCTTCTCCAATTCCTGACCTGCCCTTCTCTTTGAATCTATATCAATCAGGCTTTTACTCCTAGTACTTTTTTTTCCAACCTTTTTTATTAGTGTGTATTAATATGCAGATTAATGTGTTTAATTTTTCATCAGATTTGAACATGGATATAACATACTTTAATTATTTTCCCATCACTTGCTTGCCCCACCCTCTCTTATTTTCACATGTTTTGGGACGGAATCAATGTGTATAGTATTTTTTCTTTAAGTTTATTGATACATTTTAGATATGCATAATGAGCATATTCATCATAGGGAATGTGTACCTGTACATGATGTATTTTGATTCCTCATTTTTTCCCCAACTGCCTCTCCTCCCTTGAATTCCTCTTCTCCTATTTACAAAGCTTTGTTTCCATGTTATCCATTTTTAATCTTTTTTTTCTTTTCCCTTCCTTCCTTCCCCTCTTCCCCCACCCTAGTTTCTCTTTGCTTCTGAACAATTTCTTCCCATTTCACAATATCTGCCATACATTTTGGTCCTTATTTACTTTTTCAATTACTCCTACCACTCTTAAAACTGTTCTTCTTAACTTTACTTAAGAGCTTCATTTACTTAAAGAGTATTACACAACTGATCATTCCCTTGCTCTGAATACTTTCCTTACTTAGCTTCCACGGTATTATCCTCTCTCTCTCTCTCTCTCTTCTCTCTCACAATAGTCTATACTTTTTAGTCTTCTCTGCTTGTTCCATGTCCCCAAACTCAGTATCTGCATATCCCAGGGCTCAGTCTCTTCCATCAACACAGTCTTGGTTTTAAGCTTCACCTCAATTTATACCTTTAATCCAGGGATTCTCTGAATTCTGAACTCATCTAACTGTCTATTCAGCACTTCCATTTGGATATCTAACAGGCATTTAAAAGCCCAACAGGCTTAAAACCAAAATCTTGACACCATCCCTCCAACCTGTTCTCAGTCTTCTCCATTTAAGAACACCTGAACTCTCTTTCAAGCTAAGCCAAAACTAATGCCATTGACCCCTCTCTTTATCTCACATTACACATTCAATCTGTCACCAAATCCACTGTCCCTACCTTAAGATGTGACTTCCACCTTGGTCCAACTTGCCATACCTTATCATCACAATGTCTTCCTAACACCTTCTCCTTTCAGACATCAGCCATGTGATTGTCATTTGACTCCTTAAACCATCCAATGGCTTCTTGTCTCAAACACATTAAAAAGCTCATCATGGACACTCAGGTCTATACAATCCGACCACCCCTTATGCATCTGACCTCATCTGCCTGCACTCTCTCCCTTACACCACTCTGGCCACAATGGGTTCCTTTCTATTTCCTGAACACACTTTTCCAGGACTTCTCTACTTGTTTCTCACCCTGTCTGAATGATTTTTCTGGTTATTCACATGGTTCACTCATTCTTCAGGTTTTTTTTTCAATCACATGACACTTTCTCTGTGAGGCCTTTCTTAGCTACCCTATTTTAAATGACAACTTCCCTTAATCCCTCATCCCTGATTTTTCTCCATCACTCATTACTATCTAACCTAGTATGTACCTTAATATACGTCATTTATTGTCTATCTCTACCCACTAGAGTCCAATGAGAGCAGATTTTTATTTGTTCTGTTCACAGTTGTACCTTCAGGACCAAGAACAGTGCTAGCATATATAATTTGCTCAAAGGGTAATTTGCTGAATGAATAAAATGAAGATTCTGCTTGCTGCTAGAATGTCTTCAGTATTCAACAATGCCTTATAGCTCAGTGCCTGTGCCAGTCAAAGTATCAAGTCAGAATTCAGTAACATTAAGCTGAAATGTTCTGCTTTCATGTGCTTTTTCATTACTTCTAAAATACTGGATCTCTTGTAACAAAATTGCTTTTACTTTAATACATATTTTTAAGTTTAAGAAGGCAGTTCCTTCCTAAGAAATTAGTGAGACTAGCACAAGGACATGGCAAAAACAGTAAAAGTGGTAACTGAATGACGTTTAGGGACTCTCAGAATTAGAGTTGCCAAACAGAATATATACAGGACACCCAGTTAAAAGCCAAACTACTATTCGTCGCTATTTCATTCTTGTACTAGAACAACTAGTAGAATTTTTGCCCTGTCCACAGCCTGCGTGGCTTGTACACGCCCAAAAATGTTCCTGCGGACAGGTGTTGAGGGTTTGGTTCTAAAAGTCTAAGCCGCAAAGCTCCACAGTGCTCTATGGGAAGAGAAATGCCCTGACCGCTCAGAGGGAGCCGGCCGCTCTGTCTCAGGAGACCAGGAAGGAGGGGAGCATTCCAAGCCGAACTGCCTTTCCCCCGACTCTCAAACACTTTCTTAGCGGAGACTAAGGCTTCGCAGCCACTGTCTGGCCCTTACCAATGTTGCCTTCGATGGAGAGCCTTCGGGGCTCGCGCCCCGCGTGCAGGCCCCTGGAGAAGGGCGCGCCCTCGAGTGACTTCTGGGCCATAGAACTTAAGGGTGTTCGAAGCCGACTTAGAAAGCGTTGTAGCGTTGCCATCCCGCCCACGCTTAGCGGAGCTCTCACTTCCGCCGCAAGCACTTCCGCCCTAGGTACAGCTGTTCACCCGCCCAGGCGCGCCTCTGACGTCACGCGACCTCCAGGCAGGAAGTGGGTGGGGTTGAGCTGGCAGAGAGAGAGGGGGCCGGAGGAACCAGTCTGTTCTCGCGATGTTTACAGAAAGTCTCTGCAAGAAGGAAGTCTTGTGTAGGGGTGCGGAAGAGTTTGCTGATAAGAGTCATAAAGGTGGTAACCGGCCCTGCGTTTTTCTCTATTGGACAAATAACATTTAAAAAGCGAGATAATTCCCACAATTTTATCACTTTTGCATTTTGGTAGACAAATAAAAATAATGGTAATTTTAAAAGAAGGTTCTTTTTATCCAGGCGTTTGTTTCTATTTTTAAATTCTAATATGGGAAGAAACCTGAGGGTTTTAAGCATGAAAATAACACAATCTGATGGCAAAATTACTTTTTCCGATTCCCTGTTACTCGCAACACAATGGTGGCTTATTACTGAACAAAATTAGCAAGGTTACTTCATTGATTAAATCCCAACTTTTGTTTTGTTTTCTGAATAAATAAATGTTCGCTCAGTTGATTTACATAATAACCAAAGAATCCCATCCAGAAAAGGCGGTAGAGGCTCAGGATGTGACTGGAACTCTTAAACCTGACATTTTGGGTTCTGTGGGCGTGAACGACGGGCGGGGTGCGGTGCAGGACAAGGTGGGTGGCGGGAGGAGGGGGCGTTCAGAATGAGATTTGTAAAAGAATGAGAAGAGCCGAGAGTAGAAACTCACAGGTATGCAAAACCCGAATCCCGCTACCGGTGAACTGTGCACTGCGGACAGACAGGGACTGGAGCTGCACATGTATCGCCAACACAAACTGAAATAATGATTTACGAAGTGTTATCCGAAGTTCATTTCTAGTTCCCATCGCTTAAATCGGAGGAGTCAAACCTGGAGAAGCCAGAACAACTTTTCAGGCAACACTTACACAGGGCAGTTTTAGGAGACCGGGCTCCGGTTTCAGGGCGGGTGGGGAGGGGCTAGGGCCTGTGACACCTGTCGTGAAACCGTTTGCATAGAAAGCATAATCCCTTTTTCTTATATGGATGTTATCTGAGGTGGCTAAAGTCACGTCTGTATATTAAGCATGTTATTTTTTAAAAGCACATTGAAAATTTGTTTAGGACAACATGGGTGGGGCACCGGTGGAGATCAGAGTAGCCAAAGTCCACCCGTTCTCATCCCCACTACCGCAGCCACTTTTGTGTAAAAAACGCTGCTTACATTTCTTTGCCTGTGTAAACTCAGACTTGGAAATGTTCATGCAAAAAAAGTTAGAGAGGCGCTCTCCGTCCTCAGGGTGTAGCTGCCCGAGAGTCATTGTGCAGGTCAAGCGAGGAAATTGTAGATTGAGGTGCACCAGGGCAACTAAGCTGCTCCTAAAAGTTAGAGCTCCTAAAAGCTATTTTTTTAAAAAAAATTATAATTAAGTGTAACGTGTAGTGGGGGGAAGAGCATGTATTGTCAGTGCGCAGTTCAGTGAAATGTTCACGAACTGAAAACTTCCATTCACCTGGATTCCAATGAAGAAATAGAGCATTACCAGCATCTTCAGAACCCTCCACATCCCTGCCAGTTACTATAGCTCAAGGGTAACTGCTAGTCTGTTTTTAATAGAGTTTTGCCTCTTCTGTATATAAATGAAATCATCTAATATGTACTTTCAGTTGGCATATTATCTCTAAGATTCATCTATGTTCTATGTAGTAGGTATAGTTCATTCATTTTCACTGCTACAGTGTATACCACTGTGTCATTATAGCCCAATGTATTTTATCCATTCCACTACTGATGGACATTTTTCTAGATATGATGGAGTTTCTAGATGTGAACTATAATAAACAGTGCTGTTATGAATATTCTTGTACATGTCTGTGGTAAACAAAAAAATATTTACTTCCCCTGGGTGTATATCTAGGAATGGAACTGTTTGTGATAAATTATATGTATGCTTGGCTTAAGTCAATATTCTCAAATAGCAAATAGTTTCACAGTGTCTGACTATACCAGTGGACAATGTCACCATTAGTGATAGAGAGTTCTGACTGAGAGTTCTGGTTGTTCCACATTTTGGCCAATAGGTGGTTTTGTCAACTTTTATTTTCCATTTTATCCATTTTTCTCGATGTGGTGCCTTATTATAGGTTTAATGTGCATTTTTCCTGATAATTAATGAAGCTGAATATCTTTCTACTGGCCATTTCAGAATCCTCTGTTGTGAAAGATCTGTTCAAATTTTATGCCCATTTTTGTATTGGTTGTCTTTTATTTGTTTTATTCTTTATATATTTTAGATATGACTCCTTTGTATTTTTTCATTCTATGGATTTTTTCTTAAAAAGTTATTTCTTGTTTTTATATAAAGTATAATTTATAAGCTAAAATATTTTTTACCTAATTGCTTACAAATTATCCCAATACCATCATTAATGATTCTTCTTTTTGGGGGACTGGTACCAGAAATCAAACTCAGGGCCTTATGCTTGCCAGGCAGGTGCTGCACCACTGAGCTAAATCCCTGGCCCCAGTATGATTCTTCTACCCTCCTTTATTTATTCATGCTTGTTTGATTATACATTATATCATACATAAAGATTCAATATACTTTCAAATTCCTGGGAGAATTGGGTTGGCCCAGCTGTGGTCAGGCATTTAACATTAGTCCATCAGCTGTGGCCAAGAGAGAAGGCCTAATGGAACAAACACAGGTGCTGGGGCTCCACCTCTATGCATGAAGAAGGGCAATTAAAGAAAACATGAGCAAGGGAGATACAAAAAAAGGGGTGGGGATCATTTCTTACTGGCAGTGGGAAATGGTGTTTTTGTCCCAGCTGGGGATAGCAAGAAGACAGAACGTAGTGGCACTTTGGTGAAAGAACTGCCTCCCACTTACGTGGGAGAATGAGGTATTTTCTGCTCCTGGTGGGTGAGGGTAGGAGGGGTGCTGTCAGATACCTGCCAGAGTTTGATGCTGAAATTGATGTTTCCCAGGGACTCAACATCCACTCATTCATCCAATATTTGCTGAGTACCTACTATGTGCCTGATACTCTGTGTACTCCTTGGAAGGAGTTAATATTTTTCAAATGTTTATAGATGCTACTGTTGTAAATGAAAAGCTGACCAAAATACATAAAACAATCAGACATTAAAATGGGAGATAGACAAAAATATGACTTTCTGCCACTGCTCAGACTTTTAGTCAGGTACATCTCATTTACATCAAAGATTTTTGTCATGTGCTGGACTGTGCTGATTTGATTTGGTTAAGCTGGGAAGTATATTTCCAGAATGCCCTGCCAACAGGGCTCTTAGTACAGTTGGCCAACAGAGGACCTGGTGTGAAATTTGGAAGGCAAAATGAGAGCGCCAGCCTTATCCCCTGGGGAGATCTCTGTAGTCGATAGAATGACAGACAGATGAGCTTGGCAGACACATCCTATTTAGTCTTCCACACAGCAGCAACCCCTCCCTGTCCTAACAATTCCTTGAAGATCGTCCCCCAACCTTTGGGTAAAGTCTTACTCCTGAAATAAATTTTGCATTCCCGTAATACCCATGGTGATTCTGTTCTGCCAAATGAACTCTCACTGCTACATGTAATCATAAAAGAAGGCATATAGGGGGTGGTTTACAGTGTAGGCTTTAGCTGGATGTGGTGATACATGGCTATAACTCCAGCAGTCTGGGAGGCTGAGGCAGGAGGATTGCAAATTCAAGCCCAGACTGGGCAGCTCAATGACTTAGTGGGACCCTGTCTCAAAATAAAAAAAAAGCAGGTCTGGGGGTGTATGTCAGTGCCAAGGCCCTATGTCAATCCCCAGTACTGGGCAGGGACAGGGAAAATATGGCCTTAAGGCTTGGGGATGTAGCTCAGTGGTAGAGCTCTCACCTAGTGTGTGCAAGGTTCTCAATTTCATATCCAGCCCTGCAAAAAAGAAAAAAAAGCCCTCTGGATTCTGATGGCTTGGGGATGAGAATTAAGAAAGGGAATCCACTTGCAGCACTTGTTTTTCACTTTCTTCAAGCCACTTGCTTCTCTCTTAGCAGTTGATATCCTGATATCCACAGGAGAATCTAGAACACCACTTTTTAAAAGCAGGGCAGGAGTAGGGGTGGAGATAAGAGTGGGGAAGTCAAATGGGTGTGGGGGAAAGCGTAGGTATGACCTGGTCATCTTGCCCACCTTCCCCCTCATGTGGAAATTCCAATGTACCTCTAGAGCAGGTAGTATCAGTGTTCTACCTGTCATCAGAGCCTGTGTGTGTGTGTGTGTGTGTGTGTGTGTGTGTGTGTGTGTGTGTCCCCCTGCCTCCAGTCTCCTTCCTGTGCTTTCACTTCCAGCACCCAGCCTTTCCAGAGGTCTGTGGAGAGTCTGCCCCAGCACTGGGGATTGACATAGGGCCTCCAGCCGGCCGGTGCACACATGGAAAGCCAAGGATTTTACATCGTAATCACTGGCAGATGTGGGACTGTGAAAGCCAGAGGTCCTTGGTGGGGCTGAGGCTAACGCTGCCCTCTGAGGGGCTTTGCCCGCGATCACCCCCTGCCCTCCATTTCCTCTTCTGGCTCTCCCTCTTAACAAATCACTTGCAACTAACTCTTCATTTTAGAATCTGCTTCTGGGAAACCTTTCCTAAGACTGAAGTCCTCTAAGAGCTTGTGAAAACATACTCCTCACCCAACCTCACCCTCAGAGGGCAAGTGAGGTGATGGTGAGAGAGGAATGTCTGACACTGAAGGCCCCTGTGCTTAACCACTGTGCCCCACTGTCTCCCAGTGGGTGTGTCCAGGACAGCTCAGGGACCAGTCAGGACGCGATCAGGAGCATGGAGCCTGGGTTTGGCTAGGTGGAGAAAGGAAAGGGGCACCAGGCAGAAGTGAGGACCTAGTTCTGCCACAGACTAACTGGGTGGTCTAAAAACTAGTAAATTAGCTTTAAAGGAGGGTGATATTAATATCTGCTTCTTAAGGAGGAAATCCATGTAAAGCTCT